GTCGATCCGGGTTGATACGTACTTCCGCTTATTGTGCACTTGGTTTACCGCTTCCTGTTTCCTTGACTTTGCTTCTTCTTGTTTTTCTTCTGCTGCTGTTGTTGAGTTGCTTGTTTGTTGTCACCGTCGTTGTTGGCCGTTCGGTTGAAACCAGGCTTCCAAATAGTACAGCCTCCTCGCGACAGTTGGTTTATACCTGAATAATTGACTGTTGCTTTGTGTGCTTTACTGCCGCTTGCTACCGTCCGTACGTTCAGATCTGAATCAAGGGGGGGGAGGTGGCTGTCAAATACGAACAATCGTCGCCTACCTCGCATAACTGGTTCCAAACGTAAACAAGCCATAAGAAACCTAGAGCGTTTGTTTACGTTTGGAACCAATTTCATACAAGATGATCAGTAGGCTGATTTGACAGCACACCCCCCCCCCCCCCAGATCTGAATTCGAAGTGTATTGGCAACAGCGCACGCACGAACAAATGAAAGCTGTATTAGAACAGTCGCATCTATACCCGCTTTGCTAAAATCATCGTGCTTGGAACGTAGTGAACCGAATGGGCTGTATTTATACATTTCTTTATGACCAGGTTCTCAATGTTTCTGTCGTCATAACAGCCTTCACAAACCGACGACATCCCTCAGCTTACCCAAGTGGCTGTCACGAAAAGGCTGTCACGAGACATTATATACAATTGATATACGGCAGTGGAGTATGGAAGAAACCCAGAAGAATGATCCCGAACAGATATGTCGGCCCGATGTCGGATCAATGTAAGATCAATTTATGGTCGACGTCGGCCAAATGTCGGGTCGATGTCGGGTCAATTTTGTGTTTATGTCGGGTCAATGTCGGGCCAACATCGGGTTGGGGTTTGGTAGAAGTCAGGTTGGTGTCGGGTAGGCTTATTATATTTTTCGCCGGAGACCGCGCGTTTTTAAAAAAATATCGAATGAAAATTTTGCAATGGGCAGCACGAACGTGATAGCAACCGAACGAGCTCCGGCGCCACACTGGTAGTGTAGTGTGTAGTAGCAGTCTTACGACATACAAACAAAATTTCAAAGACAGCAGCAACGAATCGGCAGTTCGACGGACTGCTTGTTGTATGTTGTATGTACGAGGAACGTTACGAATGACCATCCGAGGCTGTCATAGCCGAACGAACAAAATACATGACTAAGAACGAGCTGTCGTGTACTGCACAAGACGGCAACGTTGCATGTCGTATAACAGCCTCACTGTGGGCTGTCGCTTATTGCTCAATCTCAAGGCTGTCGTAGGGAAAAGAAAGCGACAGCCGTTGGAATACTGTCATGAGGTGGTACTTTTGGTATGCCTGGTTGAAACAACTGCAGTAGCCCTCTTTGTGCCCCTGTCTATTACATTGTTCGCAGATGTGGTTTGTATAGGAACAATCTTTGACAGAATGCATTGCCCCACACTGCCAGCAGGGTGAACGAGGAACGAATGCATTAGTTGAGCCGGCTTGTCTTGTTTGCTGAGGCTGTTGCTTGTGCTGCTGAACGGCATGTACACTGGAAGTTGCTTACCCTTCCACTAGCGCAGTGTCGTGTTTAAGGTTCGACAAGCGCTGACATTCCGTGATGAGCACTTCAAGATTGATCTCCCTTCCAGCTTCCGACTCCAACTTCGACAGAAGGCGCGTTCTGACCTCCGCTTCTTTCGTTTATCTCGTTTATCCCTAAAATGGGTCTAAATCCAGCTTACTTAAAGTTGAAATTACACTATTAAGTAGGAAATTTACCAAGCTGTCCAATGGAGGCAATTTATGGCAAGCATAGACTGATACAGAAAAAGTTCAATAACTCAGTAATCTTTTAGATTTGATCATATGTGTATTTGATTTATATGTTGTATAAATCACTTGGAAAATATGGCTCAAGTAGATACCGTTTATACTGACCTTAAAGCGGCCTTCGATTGCATCGATCATGGTATTCTTCTTCGGAAAATGTCTCGTCTGGGAGTTTCGGACGGTTTGGTTGATTGGCTGAAATCGTACATTTCCAATTTAACTGTCCGTGTCAAGCTGGATTCGCGCACTTCGTCACCGTTTGTTGCAACCTCCGGTTTTCCCCAAGGTAGCAATTAAGGACCCTTGTTGTTCACAATCTTCTTCAACAGTGTGCCGCTAATCCTGCAGAGTGGTTGTGTGCTCATATACGCCGATGATCTCAAGCTTTACATCGTTATCAAGGACGCCGAAGATTGCCGTCAGGTCCAAGAAATGTTGGACCAATTTGTTGACTGGTGACATATAAACAAGCTCTCTCTCAGTATATCAAAATGTGTAGTCATGACATTTCATCGCACAAGGACGCCAATCATATTCGATCACTCAATTGATGGATTTGTACTCGAAAGAGTAGAACAAGTAATGTTGGACTCTAAGCTTACTTTTGACTTACATCGTTCAATGGTAGTCATTAAGGCAAATCGTCAGCTTGGGTTCATATCAAGAATCTCAAGAGTCGGATCGTACTGTTTAAGGCAGGCCTGCCCAACCTTTCTAATCTTGCTTTTTTAAATGGCTGTATCTTTGTTCAATGAACATGTTTCAAGCTGCAGTTTGTTTATTTATCATTCATTCTAGACTAAAACTCATAATGATTAACAAAATTTGCCTAGCATTGCATCATTGTTGAGATCTAGAGACCACTTTCACGTTGCGCAGCGCTGGATTAAAGGCACTTGTGCGCCCGATTAAGACTGCATCTGTTGTTTAAAACCCTTGTCAACTTTCTTGGAGCATTAGAATAGAACGTATTCAAACAAAATTCATTCGTCGATCATTGAGGCAACTTCCTTGGGTAGATCCACTAAACTTACCTCCGTATGCTGAGAGATGTCGCTTGCTAAGCATGGATACTTTAGAACGACGGCAACATGCATCGCGAAGCTATTAAGTGGTGAAATTGATTCCGCCCACTTACTATCTTCCCTGAGCTTTCGTGCGCAAAGCAGATTTCTACGTTCATCGTTCCTATTGCGTCAGGACTCACATCGCTTTTCTTGTGGACAACATGAACCTATTACGAGTATATGATTCGCATGTTCTCTACAGCTGAAGAGTTGTTAGAGTTTGGGGAACCTGCTGATCGTTTTCGAAGACGCATTATCAATTCCAGTTATATTTAGTATTTGTTATGGCTCCTACTATCTTACCTGACTTATAACGAATATACCTTGTATCCGCGGGAGGATAAAATCGTTTGTAATTGAAAATGAGTGGTCTACACTCAATCAACAGTATCTTCACGGTGAGAAGCAAGGGCGTAGCCAGGTTTCGAGCTAGGGAGAGGCGAAAAAAAATACTATGGAAAATTTGGCCGAATGCCATTTCACCGAACGCCATTTCACCGACAGAGAACGAACTTATGACACCCCAACAACTTTATCGAACCTTTGAAACTAAATAAATTCCATGATCTCTGGAAAATCGGATAGGTCTGAGGAACTTATTCCGAATACTTCCGGTATTTTGGAGTCTCTTGGAACTGCAAATAGACCCGGAAACTTCAAACAGCACTCTCCACTCAGATCTTCCTGAAATTTAAGCTCTCGTGGAACCTGAGAAACTGCCGGAGCTTTTTACGGTACTCCGTATGCTTTTGGAACTCCCTAAACTCCATCCTGGAATTGTCAGGAGCTCTTGGGTTTCTCAAACATCACACTATAGGGTTTTCGAGGAGTTTCCAAATTTTCCGGAGCTCAGGCAAATTCAAATCTTTGAGAATGCCGGAACTCTCAACATTGAGCACAATTGATTTCTTTTTGCCTCCAAAAATTAGTGAAACAACGAGATTTACTAGAAACTGCCTCAATATTTGGATCTCCAGAACCACTTGGAACTCCTGCAACTTCCAAAATAACGAGATTTGGTACTAGCACAGCATCGATCCTAGATATTCTGAAACTCCGGAAAGTACTAGAAAATTCCTGAATTTTCGGAACTCCAGAAACTCTGCAAACTGTGGTAAACTGAGAGAGCTTCCGGAACTGGAAACTCAAAATTTTTCGAATCTCTGAAAACTTTCTTATCCTCCACTAATTGCTAGAAATTGATGAACCTCTGAAACCGCCAACAACTTATTGAAACTCCAAAATCCCAAAAAGAAACTTCTTCCTGGATCTGTCAGAATCTCCTGAGACTTTCGTACTTTGAATTTTTCTGTGTGTTTGAGGAGTTCCATCAGCTCATGGAGCTCCAAGACGTCGGAGAAGAATCTGGATTCTCAAATTGCCATAAATTTCGAAGATTCCAAGAATTCTAAGAGCTCGTGTGTGTTGACTGGAGTTTTGCACGTTCTGGAGATTGAAGAATTTTGGAAGTACTTCTGGCGGTTTACTTATGGAGGTGGATGCAGATGGGATTTTTTTTATTACCGGCCAAAATAAGTCGAAGGGTCTCAAATGTTTTTTGAATTTGTACTCGCAGGTAGAGTTTACAGTTATATGAACTAAAAAAAATTTAAAAAAATCGGGGTGATCAATTTTTCCGATTTTTTTTTTGGTGAATTTATGACCGAAACTGTGGAAAGCACTAAGAACTACCAAAGCAAGTGGAACTCCAGAAAACTCTTGCCGCTCCTGAAACTTTGGAAAACTGTGAGAGCTCCCGGAACTAACATGATCTCTCTTAACTCCAGAAACTCCAGAATCTTTTATCTTAAATTCGAACACATTCTCAATTTTTATAATTTCTAGAACGTCACAAACCTCTGTAACCCCCAACAGCTTTTGGTAACCTCCTATACTTAAGAAACTGCATGATTTATAGAAACTCTGAGAGGTCTAATACTCCGATCCAAATACTCCTGGTATTTCAGAATCTCTTAGAACTACAGGATCACACGAATATCCTGATGTACCCCGTTTCCCTTTTTCTGTATAAACCGTTCAATGTGTGTGGTTTGTGTTCATTTAGGTATTTATTTGACAGCCATATTTAACCAGCAACTCTCTTGTCTCATTTTCAGACCACATCCAAAAACGGCTTATTTAGCTCGGACGACCTGCTGGACACGTTCGACCCGCTGAAAAAGTGATGAGACCATCGGAACCCACAACCCAACCCGTGGTCCGGAATGCCCCTCCGTAACGCTCCCACTGAGCGGCAGCGACCCTCTTTTGTTTTGTTTTTTTGGCATCCTCTCAATTCCGAATTCTAGCTGGTTTAGATTAGAAGCATTCCAATTCGATGAATCTCACGGTCTGTTTTTTTTTTCTTGGTTTCTGATGAAATTTAACGAATCTCTGCGCACCCGTATTTAAAGCAACACGAAAACAGCACACGAACTTTTAAAATCCTGCTGAATCGAATGGAAGGGAATGATCTTTATTAATTATACAATTAAAATAATCATCTTTTACCTAGGGAAAACTATTAGACACAAAAGCAAACTAGATGGGGAGAGTAACTACTACTTTTGTCTGTGGCAGAGTTATAAGTTAGAAATTTGGTAATTGTAAATGGATTTTTCTTTTCTGCTTTGGCAAAACCGAAGGTTTTTTTCCAGCCAGAAAGATAGTATTAAATAGAAAGGTAAAATAAAAGCTAGCGAAGAAGATTGTGTCCACAAATACCTATTTTGCGTTTTATCCCCTCATAACATGTGATACGAACATACGATACAGAGCAAATCAGCAGGAAATTTAGCGGCTTTGCTTTACTGATAGCGCCACGCAGGAAGATGAAACGAAACATTCCACTCAGTGCATATACCCTATAGGGAATTTGATACAACAAAAGGCATATTTATAGTGATGAAGATTTGCGTGCAAGTTCACCGAACAAGAAGAAGAAACGTTTAGAGCGCTCTCTACCGATGCCTAGTGAAAGCTGAACTCGGTAAGCCACCCCCGACCGTCAGATGTCGCGACGATGGTGCTATTGATTAATTGTTTGCAAAGTGAATTACCATTTTTTTTTTGTTTTGCGATTGGAATAATTTGAAATGATTGAAAAGTGATTTATTTTACTGTACGTAAAGTTGAATACGTACGCGCTAGGAAGCATAGTTTTTTTCGCATTGTCCCCCAAACCTATTTTTGTCTATTTTTTGTCCATACTTACTTGTGAGTGTTTATTACTGAAGGTTAACATTTACTTTTTTTTTGTTTAGAGAATAAATTTAATATATTTCTGTCAAGTACTAAACAAAACGAGTAGAACAAGCCACAAGCGGAAACATTTCTTTCTGATAGAGGATTATAATTACACTAGGAATATTGAAAGTGCGCAATAAACTGCAATCAAACTGTAATCAAGTAAATACTATCTGTAGATTCATTGTTATTCTAGTTTTAGTTACAATAAGCGATGATATTGTGACCAATATGATCAATAAAAACTGAATATTGAGTATCTAAGCCGGTTGTTTCAGTTGAATATGTTTGTGGTATATCGAACTTCCATCTATTCTAGCATTTCAGCAACACGGGGTTTCTTAACGACTAGACGCTTCTAGCCTAACCGGAAGCACCTCGCTGATATTCTATTCACTTCTGCTAGGGTTACTATATGGTATCCTTTAGGAGGAAATGTCCTCCTTTTCCAGTATATATTGAGTTATACACCCATATTCTTGTTTTCGTTCGAACCGTATTTTCCATACAAAAAAAAAGTTTTTTGCATGGAAAATACGGTTAGAACGAAAACAAGAATATGGGTGATAGATCAATAGTAAAAAACTGCAAAACTACATTTCCACGGCTCAGCATGGATTCTATCCAAAGCGGTCAGTTACGACAAACTTGACTGAATTCGTGTCACTTTGCGTTCGGACCATGGATTCTGGGGGACAAGTCGACGCCGTTTACACTGATCTGAAGGCTGCATTTGATCGAGTTGACCACTGCATATTACTGGGCAAACTTGAAAAACTTGGCGTTTCTGACTCCATGATTTCATGGTTCACGTCTTATCTCACAGACCGCTCGCTCTGCGTTAAGATTGGCGCCTCGCAATCTGAAGTATTCACGAACATCTCCGGTGTTCCACAAGGAAGTAATCTGGGACCGCTTTTGTTTTCGTTGTTTATCAATGAGCTTTCTCGTCTACTGCCACCTGGATGCCGACTATTCTACGCCGACGACGTTAAAATGTACATGATCATCAATAGCATCGCTGATTGTGAGGATTTGCAACAGATTGTGGATCATATGCAAAGCTGGTGCTCCCGTAACTACTTGACGCTTAGCATCAATAAGTGCAATGTGATATCCTTCTACCGTAAGAAGAAACCGATCAGATTTAATTATTCCATCTCCGACCAGATTTTGGAGAGAGTTAGTCAAGTCAGAGACTTAGGAGTTACTCTTGACTGTGCATTGACGTTCAAGCCCCATTACAATGACGTCCTGAACAAAGCCAACAGACAGCTTGGTTTTATATTCAAAATCTCCGAAGACTTTCGTGACCCGCTGTGCCTGCGGGCATTGTATTGTTCATTGGTCCGCTCTATTTTGGAGTTCAGTGCTGTCGTTTGGTGCCCTTATCAGGCCTGCTGGATTGCAAGGTTTGAGAGTGTACAAAGGAAGTTTGTTCGTTACGCGCTACGTCATCTACCCTGGCGTGATGCATCTAACTTGCCTTCATACGGGGACCGCTGCCGCCTGCTTGGGATTGATACCCTGGAAACAAGACGACGTAATGCTCAAGCTGTCTTTGCCGCTAAGATTATTATCGGTGAAATTGACTCCCCACAACTACTTCGGCAGCTCTACTTCTACGCACCTGAGAGAGTAATGAGACAACGTAACTTCGTTCATCTTGCGACTCGTAACCGACAGTATGGGATGAATGAGCCTATCCGCGCCGTGGCTAATGCGTTTAATGATGCTTATGCTTGCTTCGATTTTAATGTACCGTTAACTGTTTTTATCAGAAGAATGTCCTGAATGTATAGATTGACTAAGCATCCTTTTAAACTTAGATTATTCATTAAGACAACCAAAAGTCAGATGAATTAAGATTATAATAAATAAATAAATAAATAAATAAATAAAAATACGGAGAAATGTGCTTATCATAGCAAACCGATCAATAAAATTGTGTTGTTCCCCTGAAGCATTCACAGATGATGATCGCAGTAGGCCACGCTTGAAAACTGACGTGTTTTTCTTTTGCTGCGTATTTTTCGTCAGCGAATTAAACTTTTTTGGCTTTTTGTTTGCTGAAATTAAGTTTCAAGTGTTCACAAAGTTATCATTTAGTGATAAATCATGTTTTTCCAGTGTTGAGCCAAATTTAATTTAAAAAAGAAGAGAAGAATATAGCAAGTGAAAAATAGAAACATGCAGTGACAAAAGAAAGAAGCAAGAAAAAAGGTCCGCCTTGAGTAATTCGGTTGCCCTTCAATTTAACCTCCAAAATCTACGTCGCAGCTTCAGTTCCATTGTTTGGTGTCGGTTTCATTGCCTCCCGGGAGCCCGGTTCTCCGAGTTCGGATGCCACATTTTCAGCGTGTAGTTCTATTGATATTCGTCACCGTGGACGAGTTTTAACCCGGTCCGGTTAACGAATTAGCCTCGCTGGATACGCCCAAGACTGGACGGGGTGTAACTGGTGGCCGCGAACGGTTCCTGGGGAAAGCACTAGACGCGAAAATCCTCCCAGATGACCATGGCAGTGTAAGAAAATTTGTGTTCGGTACTACGGAACCCATGGATTGGAGGATCAAATTAACATGGTGAGACCAGTCCAAATACTTTTTACAATTAAAGAAAAAACAACGTGCCAGGGTTCAAAAGAACAGTTTGAAACTGGAGGTGTGTGTGTGTGTAATACTAATATTCGATTGATAGAGGTACAGTCAGGAATCCTTATTGCCGGATTCCTTATTGCCGGTATCTCTTATTGCCGGATCCTTATTGCCGGGCTATCCGCGAATAAGGATACCCACAGCTTATGGGATTTTCACTAATGGGGGCTGTAGTGGATTATCTCATTTGTTTCAATACATAAAGCTATACTGCCTTCGACAAAGTTGCTGTACTGGGTTAGACCAACAAGCCTGTGCCATTGGATTCAGGTTTAATTGGGAACTACGCCGCTAGAGGCGCTTCACTTTTATGTTACTTATGACGGGTGCTATAATATATGGATCATATTTCGAACATAGAATATTTCGTGATCCTGACCATATAGAAAGTTACTGTCTTCAGCAAAGTTGTTCAGGTGACCAAGTCCTTTCGGATGGTGGCCATATTAGTTCAGAACTCTCTCACTACGCAGCGCTAGTGTGCATGTGCAATTCCTATATAAACTGTATCTCGAGAGCCTGGCCATATAGAAAGTTGCTGTTTTCAGCAAAGTTGTTCAGGTGACCAAGTCCTTTTGGATGGTGGCCATATTCGTTTAGAACTCTCTCACTACGCAGCGCTAGTGTGCATGTGCAATTCCTATATAAACTGTATCTCGAGAGCCTGACCAATTAGAAAGTTGCTGTTTTGAGCAAAGTTGGGCAGGTGATCAAGTCCTTTTGGATGGTGGCCATATTAGTTTATAACTCTCTCACTACGCAGCGCTAGTGTGCATGTGCAATTCCTATATAAACTGTATCTCGAGAGCCTGGCCATATAGAAAGTTGCTGTTTTGAGCAGAGTTGTGCAGGTGAGCAAGTCCTTTCGGATGATGTTCATATTAGTTCAGAACACGCTCACTACGCGGCGCTAGTGTGCAAGTAAATTTCCTGTATAAGCTGTATCTCGAGAACCTGGCCATATAGAAGGTTACTGTCTTCAGCAAAGTTGTTCAGGTGACTAAGTCCTTTTGGATGATTGTCATATTATTTCAGAACTCTCACACTACGCGGCGCTAGTGTACACATGAACTTCCTTAATATGTTATGTCTCCAAAGCTTGTCCATATAAGATGTTGCTGTGCAATGTGAGAACAGGAACCGGAAAAGGCATGACGTGTAGAGGCCGGAAATCGATGTCAGATGCCATTTTGGAATCCAAGATGGCGGCCATCGGTTCGAGAAAAACTGTCAAATATCCTACAATATGGATATGTTTGGAAAGGGGACGACGTGTAGAGGCCGGAAATCGATGCCAGACGTCATTTTGGAATCCAAGATGGCGACCATCGTGTCAAGAAAAACTGTCAAATATCCTACCATATGGGTATTTCCGGATAGGGAACGACGTGTAGAGGCCGCAAATCGATGTCAGAAGCCATTTTGGAATCCAAGATGGTTGCCATCGTTTCAAGAAAAACTGTCAAATACCCAACAACATGGGTATTTTCAAATAGGAGATGATGTGTAGAGAAATCGATGTCAGATGCCATGTTGTAATCCAAGATGGCGACCATAGGTTCAAGAAAAACTGTCAAATACCCTACAATATGGATATTTTTGGAAGGAGACGACGTGTAGAGGCCGGAAATAGATGCCAGACGACATTTTGGGATCCAAGATGGTGGCCATCGGGTCAAGAAAAACTGTCAAATACTCTACAATATGAGTATTTCCGGAAAGGAAACGACGTGTAGAGGCCGGAAATCGATGCCGGATGCTATTTTGAAATCCAAGATGGCGGCCATCAGTTTAAGAAAAACTGTCAAATACACTACAATGTGGGAATTTCCAAAAATGGACGACGTGTAGAGGCCAGATATAGATTCCAGACGCTATTTTGGAATCCAATATGGCAGCAACATGTTTTCCATGGTCACCATAGCCGATCGAACTCCAGACGAAACTAGAACCGCACTACCGTTCATACTGGTGACAACGCTCTGATGAGACAATGAAACCTTACCCCCAAGCTCCTCCCCTGATCCTATCCTTCGACAATGTACCTCTATTACCTCGAGTAAGCCACGAGTATTTGGTCCAACTCCTACTAGACATAGAATTAAGTGAATGTTGTTACAAACATAGAACAATGAACTATCGGCTCCGTAAAGCTAACGTGATTGAGCCTTCCAAATAAACGAACTAGTTAAAAAAAACATGTTTTCCATATATAAGGCTTACCAAGAATATTGCGTATAATTTATTGTGTATAGCGTATCACTGAGCAAGATCGCAACATAACGTGGAAAATTCCTCAAATAGCGTCTGGAATGTATATCTGACCTTTACACGTCGTCTCTTTTCGGAAATTCCCACATTGTAGGATATTTGACAGTTTTTCTTAAAACCGATGGCCGCCATCTTGGTTTTTAAAATGGCGTCTGGTATCGGTTTCCGGCCTCTACACGCCCGGAAATACCCATATTGTAGGGTATTTGACAGTTTTTATTGAAACAATGGCCGTCATCTTGAATTTCAAAATGGCATAGGGCATAGATTTTCGGCCTCTACACGTCGTTTCCTTTCCGGAAATACTCATATTGTAGAGTATTTGACAGTTTTGCT